TAATTTATTGGACAATAAGTGTTTTGGGGGCAATGTCGCTATTAAGTTTGATGTTGCTAAAGCTTTTGATACTCTCAATTGGGACTTTCTAGATCAGGTGCTTAGAGCTTTTGGTTTCCATCACACTTTTGTTCAATGGGTTCATGTAATCCTTTCCTCAGCCCGACTATCTATATTATTCAATGGTTCACCTGTTGGATTTTTCGGATGTAGTAGGGATGTTATTCAGAGGGATCCTCTATCCCCTCTCCTTTTTTGTCTTACTGAAGAGGTTTTTAGTCGAGGTCTAGTGGATCTTGTAAATTCTGGAAAGGTTAAACCCATTTCTTCCTCTCGGGGAGTGACTACTCCTTCTCATATTCTCTATGCGGATGACATAATGGTTTTTTGCAAAAAGGGACAAGGGCAGCCCTATGAACCTTATCCATTTTATTGAAGAATATGGTGTGAATTTTGGCCAACGTATTAGTAAAGTTAAATCTCGTATTTATATTGGGAAATCGGCTTCTGTGCGTCGTTTGCGTATTTTATCATGGCTCAATGTCTCTGAAGGTGAGCTTCCATTTACTTAGTTTGGGGTTCCTATTTTAAAGGCAAACCTAAAAGGGCATATTTTCAAGCATCAGCAGATAGAATACGTTCTCGTCTTTCTCAATGGCAAGGTCACTCTCTCTCAATGGCTGGTCGAGTTACTTTGGTCAAGTCAGTTGTGGTAAGCATGTTGTCTCATTCTTTCTTGGTTTATTCTTGGCCACCTACGGTGTTAAATCAGGTTTGTAGTTGGACTTGAAATTTCATTTGGACGGGATGTGTTGATTCTTGCGGATTTTCTATTGTGGCATGGAAAAAATGTTGTGTTTCTTTAAATGAAGGAGGTCTTGGCATTCGTAATTTTGCAGCTTTAAATAAGGCATTTTTGTTGAAAAAATTGGGATATTTTGGTTACCTCATCTATGGCTTCACGGTTTTTCAACGTCGATTTTTTAATTGTCTTGGACAGCCTTGTTCTACATACAAGAGTTCTTCCATTTGGCCTGGTTTACGCCCTCCTTTTTAAGATATTTTTCATGGATCAAAATGGGTCATAGGTAATGGTCAAAATATTAATTTTTGACATGCGAGATGGTTAGATTTTCCAATAGTTGATAGGCTTGGTATTCCACCAGATTTATGCAAGGCTTTTCAAGCTAAAGTTTCTGATTTTATTGTGGATGGTTGTTGGATTCCCCCACCTACTTTACATTCATGGCTAGCGCCCATTTGGGATGATATTTCTTCTATTGGGCTTCCTTCAAAGTATGGGATTGATGATAAAATGGTTTGGTTGTCTACTTCAAATGGTAACCTTTCTTTATCTTTGGCTTATGATTTTAAGCGTAATAAACAATCAGTGGTTCAATGGGATCGATAGGTTTGGCAATCTTGCTTTCTCCCTCGTAATTCTGTTACATTGTGGCAGTATTTACATGGTAAGATGTTAACTAATGATCTCTTGCAGTAAAGAGGTTTTGCTATAGCATCTATGTGCTCTCTTTGTTGTGAAGGTATGGAAACTGCTTCACATATTTTCATTGAGTGCTCTTTTACACGTCAAATTTGGTATACTGTTTTGGACTTATTCAGAGTTCAATATTTATTTCAACATATTTTTAGCTTTTTCCATTATCCTTTACAACAAGGTTTTGGTACCCAAGTGCAACTGCTTTGGTGGGGTATGATTGGAGTTGGTTTTTATTCTATTTGGCATGCTCGCAACACTGTTCGTTTTCATGAGGAGGTTGTTTCCATCAATTGTGTTGTAAGGTCTATTAAATGTCAACTCCTTGAAATTGATTCTCTCAATTCCGGCTGTATGAAGAATTATGTGGAAGAACTTTGCATTCTTCATTCTATTGGTGTTCGTGGACGTCCTGCTAAGGCTCCAAAAATTATTGAGGTGTTGTGGCGCTTGCCTTCTCAGTCTTCGTTCAAAGTGAATACTGATGGTGCTGCAAGAGGTTCCCCTGGTGTGGCTACATTTGGTGGTATCTTTCGGGATTTTATGGGTAATTCTCTTGGTTGTTTTGCGGGTTCAATAGGCTTGGCCTCTTCTTTGGATGCCGAACTACACGCTGTTATTCATGTTGTATCTTTAGTTTGGGATAAAGGTTGGCATTCCTTATGGATTGAATGCGACTCCTCACTTGTTGTTCATCTTCTTTCTTCACCCTCACCTTCCTTGACATCTATCCCTTGGAGGTTGTTGGTCAGTTGGCATAATTGTCGAGTTTTACTATCCTCCATGCAGGTTCAGATTTCTCATATTTTTAGAGAGGGTAATCAAGTTGCTTATTGTTTGGCCAATTATGGTGTTAATCACCCCCGATGTCCATTGGTGGGATTCATGCCCTTCTTGTGCTGCAGCTGCTTATTCTCACAACCTTTCTAAGCTTCCTTGTTATAGGTTTTGAATTGTTATTATGAATTCTTTAATGGTCTGGGTTTGGCCTAATGTCTCCCTGACATATTGTATTTTTCTTGTTTATCAATAAATTCTCCTCAAAATCTCTTCCCATGATAGCAATACTGGAGTGGGAAAGACTTTGTAGCCAAATTTAAAAAATAAATAAATAAATTACATACATTATGTGTAATAGAAATTTTTTTATTGTAATCATAACGTCACGTCAATTTAGAAACGTGAACTCAAGAAGGCCGGGATTGCAGTCACACTAAAAACTTTTAGTGATTGCTCAAAAATGTTCTTTCTATTTTACTTGGCAATTGACATGCTAATTTTGCCCTCCCTATATCTTGTATAGCAATAGAGAGAAGATTTACCATGCATATTGTTAATGTATCAACTTCACAAATGTCAACTAGCCGTCTGTTTATGTATTTATCTGTATTTTTTTTCTGTTGTTTTTGCTAACCAAATTTATTTGAGTAATAATATATGAAGTAACAACTTGTGGCCTTGTATACAATTTATTAAGTGACTGGTACGTCCCAACAAATTATTCAAGATTTTGAAGAATGTGACAATGACATATTTCAATTTTTAAGTCTCAATTATCCCACGATATGCACGGTGGAGTCATTTTATTTTCAATAATATGATGTGCAAATCAAATTTTCGAAATTGAATATGCTTTAGCTGTCCTCGTGCAGCTTGCTAAGAGACTTGAGAGCTTGGGAAGGAAGCACAAGTATTTTAAATTGAACACCCTTTACTCTAATATGAAGTTTCCCGCTAAATATGAAAGAATATAGTAATATACCTTAAATTCTTTTCATCTTGTCTTTCCCAAGCCAAGGGCACGAAATCGACTAAATTGATATATTTGGAAGCAACTCTAATCTTAATCCCCTCTGTTTTTGCTCATATTAAGCGATCATGACCAACTAATGTAATTTTCAATTCTTTTATTTTGTATCTAGGTCGAGTTGGGATAACTTTGATTCTATGATATGTCTTCTTTCTAAGCCAAGAAAGCATGTTTTCCCGCTTTCATATATAGAGAAACACTTGATAAGTTGTTATTAGAGAACAATTCTTATAATTAATTTGCTTATGGTGTGACGCTCTTTTTCTTCGATTGGGATTACTAAAAACTGACAGCAACTTTCCTAGCTATTCTGTTGTACAATTTCCCATCATTTTTTAATGAATATTGTGCCTTGTTCTAAAAAAAGATTCAATTGCAAGTTCACTTGTTTCATGCATATACATATATAGCAATTCAATCGAATTGTCGAATTTGCTTCATATAGAGTATTCTTCTTCGCTTTTCATCTTTTCCTTCCCTTGATTCCGTCCCAAAATTTATGAAACTTTCAAATAAGGGGCCAAAATATTTCTAATTCAAACACACTGATCAAGAAGTACCTTGACAAAGTCTTTTTACCTGTCAGCAAAGACGAAGAAAAAATTGGCCTAAAGTTAAAGATGTGACAAAAAGTTACCAAGAAAGAATCATTTCCTTCTTTTAAGGCCAAAGTAAGAAGAAAAATGAGGAAAAGAACAAAGAAAACAACAATCCCACTACTCAGAAAATTTAAGTAAAGGTCTGTGGTCGAGCATGACCACAATGAACTACTTAATCAAGTACTAGACTGAAGTAGGTTTAATTGCATTTGGAAAGTTGCAAGCCTTCAAGGGAACATGGCAAAGACATCACACTCGTGCAACCCATGTACATATATATTATGAATATAATTTTTGCTTTGAATTTTTGTTTAAACCCCCCACATTTCCAACCAAATTCCAAAACTAATAAAAAAATGGTTTCATGATCTTGTTGGATATATGGATTTCTCGATGTTCAACATTCAAAGGCTCTCCTATCCAAAGAACTTTGGAATGCTCCATTCTTTTAAATACTCGCCACCGAATTCCTATAAATTTAAGTCACTTTATTATATATTGAGAAACTAAAATTTAGCCGTGCCGGTCAATTAGTTTTTAATAACACGATTACATAATGTTACGTTGTCCACAACTATTACAACACAAAAACTCATATATTAATACTTACAAGCAAGAACACTGCCACCTTATATTCACTGGGGGTGGATGCCCCCACTCATATTGGTCTGAAAAAAATAAATAAATAAAAAAAAGAGGATGCCGTCTTCGTTCTTTACACATTCTTGTGCATTTCTAGTTATATATTGCATTGAATAAATTAAAAGAAATAAAAAAACCAATGGATAAAAATAAACAAATGCATGCATAAAAAAAAAGTGTTGTGGATATTATTTCATTTCGCGTAATAAATTTTTGGTTTAATATCCCCATTCAAAAAATCTCTTTAATTCCACCCCTGCTTATAAGAATTTTTCATGCCGGCGGTGCATGAAAGGAAAGGAAAGGTCAAATGAATCTATCTTTCAAGAAAAACAAAAAGAACTAATTTCAGATAACACCCTACCCAAAAAAACAACTTTAAGCTGATATTAAATTGGACAAATATTAAGTTTATATTTGGGGCAAGACGTGACAACAAAACTCACGCCATGGCATGGAACAATGGCCCATCGGCCTCCACATGTTGATCACTTTGACCTAAGGACCCAAAAGATGCTTCTGGTCCCCCTTCCATCTTTCAAATTTGTACTTGGGTATAAATCTGTGACTTCGAACTCTGAATCATACAGCACAACTTCTTGAACCAATTCCTATAAGTTCTTACAATTTCTCTCAAGTTTCAACCTTTTTATATGATGAAAAGAGCAACAATGGCTTCATTCTCTACCAAACCTTCAAAGCTTTACAATGTTCGATCGATTAGTATGCCGGTTAGGTCACATCCAAGCACACTCAGAACCGAGGAAGAGCTGAACAAGCTCAAGGCTTTGGAGGCAGCATTGACATCTTCATCGTCGCCGGCGTCGTCGAAGGCGGATTCAATATGCAAAGCGCTAGGTGGGCTCAAAGAGTTATACTTTTGCATTGAGGAACTTCTTCAATTGCCATTGACACAACAGGCTCTAGCCCTTCACCAGAAAGAGAAATGGGTTGAAGAGCTGTTGGACGGTTCTGTCACGTACTTGGATGTTTGTGGCAACACAAGGGATTCCATTTTGACGATGAAGGAAAGCGTTAGAGATCTTCAATCCACGCTTCGGAGAAGAAAGGTGGGAGATTCGAGCATCGAAGACAATGTGAGTTCATATGTTCGCATAAGAAAAAAGATGAAGAAGGAAATTGTGCAGTTTATGGCATCGTTGAAGCAAATGGATCAAAAATATGAAGCATTTCCTTTGGATATAGACAACCATCTCGCCGCGGTGGTGAGAGTCCTGAGAGAGGCAAGTTTGATCACCAGTTCCATTTTTCACTTCCTGTCTTCATTCCTTTCCACTCCAATTCTGAAGCCAAGGCCTAGCAGATGGTCATTGGTTTCGATTTTGTTGCACAAAGGGGTGTTGGTTTGTGACAACAACCAACACAAAAGCATGAACGAGCTGGAAAATGTAGATATTGCAATTAGCAACATGCTTGTCAATAATTCAGGTGAAGGTTTTGAGGATGATCAGAAGACTCAATCTGCACAAAGAAGGTTGGAGGTCTTGGATTCAAGCATTGAAGGCATTGAAAATGGTTTGGAGTGCTTGTTTAGGCTCTTGATCCGCACTAGAGTCTCTCTCCTAAACATGCTTTCTTGTTAAGATCACACATCGATTAGTTTCCATTTATTGTACCATATAATCCCAGTACCAGCATCCGAATTTTAAAGGATCTACGTATATTCTTCTTCATTTTTGTCGAAATGTGAATTCTACTGTACTTGTAGCTAAATGTGTGTGTGTATGTATATATTTTTTTTAAAACTGATTTTAATACTATTTGGTTTGAGGAACCTCTAAATAAGTCTACGACGTTCTGTTTGAGAATTTTAAACCTCTTTGAAATCTAAATAAAGTTTCCTATATTATCTTAGTTATTAGTTGTAAATCTAGTGCTAGAAAATTCTTTGAGGTATTTGCAAGTGAAAACCTAATTACATGCTTATACTCGTTGATGAGTTGATTTTAATCCGATTCCAATTCTAATTCACCAATTTATTACGTTTGTTCATGGCTAATCAGATTTGGTTTCAATATATCATGTAACCAAATTATAGATAATAGTTCTCATTTGATAATCCGATCCAAATTATGTACATGGACTTTTCGGTCTTTTTATAGTGTGACGTAGACTTGAATTAAATTTATTTCTACAATACCCCTTTAGCAAAAATTTAAAAAAACAATTTAAAAAAATCTGGTGTAGCCAACCTCCCAATTCCTCTTAGTATAAAATATATATCAATGTACTACAAGAAAACAAAAAAACAAAAAATCTGAATTTTTATTAGAAAATATTGTGAAAAAGTTAGAAATAGAAATGGTTTGGCTGGATTTTACAGCTTAGGAAATCTTCATACCGACTTTGTCATTGGATTCTTCTCGCACGTGTCAACTCACAACGGCTATATTCTCTTTTTACAGGCCCCATTTATAATTACAACACATAGGTCGGTTATTCAGTGGGCCCCACAGAGGATCCGAAGTATAATTCCATAGCTTTCCCATGCCAATTCAGGCGACCGTTCCATTACACTCCGCATTAAAAACCCAGCAAAAACCCAACCCGCTCTCTCTGTGACCATGACTGTCGCCACCGTAGCCACCACCCACACCAGGAAGCTGGTGAAGCTCAGCCGCTCTCTCTTCCGATGGGGATTCAACTCCTCCAAATGGTACATTCTTCTCTCTCTCTCTGCCTTTCCCCTTTCTGGGTTTCTCTACTTTAGCTATTTGCACTGTTTGGTCCCTATAAATCTTGGAAAATAGGAATTGAGACCCCAGATTGTCAAAAGTTGAAAAATTTGTTCAATGTTTGCATTATCTCGGCAAGTTGATAGGGTGGCAGTTAGTCTTAGTCCCTCTGATTGGTTGCCTAGAATATGTGGGAAGCGGGAATTATAGAGACCCAGATATTGAAAAGTTATTAGAGTTGAAATATTTGGTCAACGTTGCATTATATCGGCAAAGCAGGGTGGGAGTTAGTCATTCTGTTTGGTTGCCTAGAAAATTTGGGTAGTAGGAATTATTGAGACTCTGATAGTTAAAAATTGTTAAAGTTGAAATCTTTGTTTAATGGTTGCATTATCTCAGGAATTTAACAGGTGGGAATTAGTCCCTCTGTTTGGATGTGTAGAAAATTTGGATTGTAAGAGTAATTGAGACTTGAGACCCAGATACTGAAAAGTTGTTAAAGTTGATATATTTGTACCCATGTTTGCTCTTTCTTGGCAATTTAATAGGCTCGGAGTCAGTCCCTCTGTTTGGTTGCCTACCAATATGTGGGTAGTGGGAGTTATTGAGACCCAGATTGTGACAAGTTGATACTTTTGTTAAATGTCGTGCATTCTTTGACAATTTAATAGGGTGGGGGGATTGGTTTTTTGCTCAATGATTGTTCTTGCTCATTGTTTTGCTAATGGTGATCAATGGAATGAATGGTGAAACAGCAAAATGCAAGCGAAGATGGCGGTGGCTAGAATAAAGCTGCTGAGGAACAAGAGGCAGGTGGTGGTGAAGCAGATGAGGCGTGACATCGCCTTGCTCCTACAATCTGGTCAAGATGCCACTGCTCGAATCCGGGTACTTATCATTTTTACTAGTCATTTATTTAACATATTAATCTAAAGTTCATGTGTTCTGGTCTTTATAAATAAATGGGGAGGGGAGAAAGGGATTAAAAGTCTAAAAGCATGTTAGTGACTCTGGGGTTGTTTGAAAAACAGACCAATTCAGTTTGTTATAGACTCAAACTTATGATCAGGCATGTGGCTATGCAGTTAGGTTTGCGGTTTTGCAACATGGTTAACAAAATAGGTTTTCCCTAATTACTAACAAATTCTTTGTTTTGTAGGTTGAACATGTGATCAGAGAACAGAACGTTTTGGCTGCCAATGAGTTCATTGAGCTCTTCTGTGAATTAGTGGTCTCTAGGCTTTCTATCATCGCAAAGCAAAGGTGACAATATTGTATTATCTTTGTTGCGTTTCACAGCTGTGGAATAGTATCTTAATCCCAATGTTTCTTGGATTTGTTACAGGGAGTGTCCGCCTGATCTCAAAGAAGGGATTGCAAGTTTAATCTTTGCCTCCCCCAGGTGTTCTGAGATTCCTGAACTGATCGCACTAAGGAATATTTTTGAGAAAAAGTATGGTAAAGATTTTGTATCTGCGGCTGTTGATGTACGTCCCAGCTGTGGTGTGAATCGCATGGTAAGCATGGTCTCCCTGTCATGTATTTCTTTATTGTTATTGGATATACTGTATCACTTTTCTACTTACAGTTCATATTTTAGTTTCTATGGTAGCTGAGTGCGTTTGTTTCTCACACAGCTGATTGACAAGCTCTCTGTTAGAACCCCTACGGGCGAAGTAAAGTTGAAACTCCTGAAGGAGATAGCCAAGGAATACCAGGTTGAATGGGATACATCAGAATCTGAACAGGAGCTTCTCAAGCCTCCAGAAGAGCTTATAGTGCGTTCCTCTCTCTCTCTCTCTCTCACACACACACACACAAACTCAAATTATATTCAATAGCTTTTCCATTTTGTGATTTTTGTTTAGTAACCAGTCATTTCCTTTCTCACGTTATATGCAAGAAATTTTCTGATTTAATATTTCTATTTACTGTTATTTTAACAGCAAGGACCACGCAATTTTGTTAGTGCTACCAGCATGCCTGTGCAGAGTGTGCCGCCTCAATCTGTTGAGACTAATAAGCCAGACACTAGGTAGCTTGGCTATTCCTTTTATCTCATCTTAATTTAAGGTATGACCATACTTCGATTATCCATTTACTTTATCGTACTTTCTTTTAGTTCTTCACGCAGGACAAGTGGTGGTGTAGAACGAAGAACAAGTGGTGGTGGAGAACAAAGAACAAGTGGTGGTGGAGAACGCAGAACAAGTAGTGGTGGTGAAAGAGGACATATGCAATTTGTAGACTCAGCATCAGCTGCTGAAGCAGCTGCAAAATCCGCCAGTGAGGCAATGGCTGCTGCACAAGTTGCTGCATATTTGGCCAACAAAGACTCCAATCAAGCAGCTCAATCATCTTCGAGCGTCAATACTGGATTCGGAACCCCTTCAGGAAATTCCACTGGCCGCTTTATGCCAGATTCTCCATTATTCGGGTCTCAGAATATGGTCAATAATGGATTTGGAACCCCTTCTGGCAATTCCACTGGCTTCTTTACGCCAGATTCTCCATCAGTTGGCTCTCAGAATAGCGATCACCAATCTAAAGCTCCTGGAGTTGATAGGTCTCACTCTTCAAGAGATGAGGAGGCGATGCATAGCCATGGAAATGAGAAGCAATTCATCTACAGGAGGTACAGCTACAATAATGCCCCATCAGTACATTCAGATATTAAGTTTGATGAATCGGACTGTGATGAAGAAGTTGAAATGGAGTCACCTCCCCGCGGCTTTCATCAAGCACCTGAGCGTCCTCCACCACAAGTACCTTCAGCTGCAAGGCAGGACTCAGTTCCTCGAGTTCATCCAAAGTTACCAGATTATGACGCACTTGCTGCTCGCTTTGACGCCCTCAAGTATCGGAAGTCATCCTAGTGCTTGAATCAGATTGCTTCTGCATTATTTTTGGGTTGCTTGTATAATTCGTATACAATACGTCCTTCAAATCGAAAACGTATCGTCTAGATTGCTTCTGCACCAGTTTAGGCTTTGCTTGTATAATCGATACATCTGGTGGATGCTTGTCATTCCATCATTTTAATACTAAATAAAGCACATGGCAGAAATTTTGTACGTTTGCCCCTATTCAGTCATTTATTATTATTTTCATTTATCCCCTGTACTTAGGAAAGTAGCCAAATCGCAGATGCCAAAGGTTTTTGAGAAATTGGCAAATTTTCAAATCTCAATTGTTAAAATTATCAATTTTAATACGTTGTCGATTTTAGATTCTCTATGTCAACGATATTTGATGTTGATTAGTTAAGCAACTGGAATCCGGATCCTCACCGAATCATTTTTGTGATGATCTTGAAAATCCGTAAATATACTGATCACACGATGTACAATGAACAGACACAATTTACGAATTTCCAGAATCTGAAGAGAATCCTGTTGGAGCAACTGGAACTTGATTTATAATCATTTTAGTCAATTTCTAACAAATTTTAGTTTGACAAAAAAAAATTTAGCGATTTTTTAACAAAATCGATTGTATGAATCTTTGTTAATCTACAGAAAATGTAGTGAGAGAAAGAAGAGATTCAAGAAATTCTAGAGAGAGAAGTAGAAAACAGAAACTTTCAGTATATTGCTTTTCTTAATTGCTAAGCAATTCTCACATACAACAGTATTTATACCCTTCTCAATATTCTTACCAAACTGACTAACTAACTCTCTAATCTGAATACAAGTGGCAGTATCTCAGCCACACAATATATAATCTATTTTTCATGCCCAATCCCTCTCAAGACTGCGTCCTTCAGCCAAATTTTTTTAACTACAAAAATATTGGAAAAATAGGCTAATTAAAATTCTAATTCTAATTGTTAAAGTGAACAAATATTAACGATATATATATATATGTTACACATCAACAACATCCGGAAAAACTTATCATTTCTCAACAATTAAAAATAAAAATGATAATTTTGCACAATTTCTCATTTAAAACTAAAAAACGATATATAACTCGATTAATTAGCTTTCTAAAAATGATTTTCCCGGGAAATCAAATCAAGCATCAGACAAGAGGATCATCAACCAGCCAAACCAACACAAAAACGTAAACGAAGAAACCAGAAACAAAATCGCATTGCTGCTAATTCAAATTAGATTAAAAAAATACCAACATAATCCAACACTTGCAAAATATCTTTGTATGAAGTAACAAACCAACACTAAGGTCTTAAGAACAATGCGCGACAATTAAACAAAAACAAAGCCTTTAATTTTTCATAATCTACGAAGCACTTGTCATCCTTTCAAAGCTTGAATCTTTGCCCTACTTCTCCGACGAGTTTGGTCCCCTCTTCTTTCCGAAGCCAACCACTGCAACAATCACGCAACACGCACAATGATTTAATCAAAAAATGCAGAACACGGGTTTTTCATAAAACATTAGTTCTTAATTACCCATTTCAAAAAATAATCTAAAAAAATTCACTAAAACGGTTTAATCCCAGAGAATATGATCCATAACATAGATAATAACGGCAAAATATTGGATGGGAAAATCAGGAAACGGTGGTGTTACCGGCGGTCACGAATCGGCGGTTGTATTGCAAGCGCTTGTGGGCGCGGCCGCGGGGCTTCTTCTTCTTGTCCTGCTTGGCCACTTTGGGTGTTTGGCCTCTCACCTTACCGGCACGAGCCAAAGAACCGTGCACCTTTCCTGAAAAAATTAAGAAAAATACATATTTTAATAATAAAAAAATGGAAACAAAAAAGTGAAAAGGATATTAAAGCGTGGGAAAATGGGCGGAGAGAGATGCATTGAGCTCACCCATGGCTGCCGAGTGGTGTAGTTGCAGAGAAGATCAGGAGAACAGGTAAACGGCGCGGCGGTAAAGAGACGGGTGCTGTGAGTATTAGGGTTTTCGGTTGTTGCTTCGTTTTAAAGGGCGGATTTGTGTTCACCTATGTTAAACCTCTGCATATTAACTAGGCCTATAGCCCATTTATGTTGGGCTGAAAAGAGTTATTCAAATAGCCCATTTCTATTAGTTGGCCCTGTCGGATCGTTTCCGTCCGCCATCTTTACCTTTAATGACCTTAACATGAAATATTCACGAGATGACGATCAAATAATGATGAACTAATTGAGCCAGAGAATAGACTGACTAGATACAATCTGACTAGAGAATGTGATCCATTTGAATGCCTACTAAGAGACAAGGAGTGATTTGTCTTGTTATTAAACAATTATTTTTGGATAAGATGCTATTGGATTTCTAATGAAATCACCACATAATAACATGTAAAAGAGAAATTATATCATGTAGTTTAGCATATCTTCTTTTTAACTCTTTCGTTACGTGATTTTGACATATTAATAGCAAGAAAAATAGTCATTTTTACTATGATATAAACACTATGTTCTTCCAAAAACTGAAAATTTTGCGCAATCTACTAAATCTCAAATCCCTAAACTGGAAATCGATTCTTTTGTGAGAATTTTGACCTCACCTGTTTATTATTGTTTCTAGTAAGATCGGTCTCATGTTTACTTACGGGAATAGAGATTGGAAGCATTTTTATTCATAAAGTTCCTTGCATTAATTAGGAAAGACTATTTCACTACTTAATCTTCCCTTATGTTTACTAACATATATGGAATCAGAAAAGTGTGCGTTATCCTTTAATTTTCCGTAATCGTATACCTAAACATTAAGAATCAGATCAACTAGAGGGGCTATAGCTAGTGATCCTATTCTATTTCCGTACCTCTCATATTTCTAAGTTCTCTAATTCATTCCTTCTCCCATTTCTATTAACCAAACATGTCTTATCAATCATGACAATTTAATCTGCATAAGGTTCATGTATGTCAATAAGAATATAAAAACAATCATGCACATTGCGTGTTGGAGTAAATAATGCCCAATGTATGTTGGCATGCATCATCATAGCATGTTAAAATAACATTAGAGGCCATTTTCATTTGAGTCGCTCTACTAAAAAAATCCAATTATCTCTTTCCCTTCATCGCTGATGGCTCATTCAGCCAAGAAAGTCACCAGCAGGAGACTTTGTTTTTCGTCACCTTCATGTTTTGGGGTCTAAGAAAGTCCAATTCCAATTCCAAAAGAACGCTAATATTGACCACTGTGTTCATCTTTGAAAGCAACTTGCATTTCCTCTCTTTTTCAAAGTATTATATTTTCAAAATATCCACATGCTAATATAAACTCCTAATAAAAAAACCCTAAGTTCTCCACAAATTAAAATAATAATAGCTGTTTTGGCCTTTGTTTGGACCCGATTTTACACTATCGGCCCGAGCCATTGAGGCCGTAGAATGAGTAAAATTCTAAGCCGTTGGATTGAAAGAAGATTGAGATGATTGATTAATAATTTGTCTAGATATTATTATGATTTTAATAATCATGATGTTATATGAGGAATTTTTGAAAATTATTTCTGAAGTGCAGAGATAATTAAGGAGTCCAAAAGATTGAAATGCTATCGGATCAAAAGATCAAAGATAAGGCTCAGTTTGGATTTTATCATAATGCATGGTTTTTGGGTTGGCAAATGGATATTAATTGGCAGAAAGATTAGTGCATGCGTGGAGAAAGAGTTGAATGAGGACTTCTTTATCTCTTTATGCGGGTCTGCTTGGGATATACCACATCAGGAGAAGCCGCAAGTGAAGAGTCGTGCATGGTAATGACTGGCATCAGGATAGCATCAAATCTGTTTGGATTAGGTAACGGCATGATAATTCACTATTATTATGCATGGCACTTGGATTGGACCATTAGTTTGGATTGCCTGCAAATAATGGTAGGCGTTGATTGGTTTTGATGCAATTACATGCATTATATCCACTGGAGCTGCATTATCATATGTTTAAAAATCCAAGTCAATGGGATTTCATGCATTATCACATCCCAAAAAAGTGGGAGCGCCTACATGAGGGATGATCTAATATTCTTAGGAATATTACTTCTGCACGCAGGATACTCACGACAAGCAACAAGCACTGAAGCCTACTGGCATTATAAGTATCGGGGTATTAGCAACATGGAAAGGACCTCCAATTCAACATACAACTGCCCTGCGCAAATTCTCTCAAACAACCTTGAGATTTTTTTTTCTTTTCTCTTTTCGCCGACACACCTTCAATTTGGATAAACAACACTGTGAAGGCAACCGGCGAACATCTTCAGTTTGGATAAACAACATTGTTACCGTAGAATCAGCCGACCGTGAAGCACCTTAAGTTTGGATAAACAGCACTGCGATGGGGTCGATTGGTTATCTATCCAAGTCTCGGTCGAGAAGGATTTTCAAATCCTTATTGGCAGAGGTCATCTTATTAGCCTTTTCGGCGAAGTGATGTGTTACAAGTTATTACATTCGGCACATTGAAAGCCGAATTTGATATTGAACTTCGCAGAACTAGCAGCCTTGTCTTCAGGCTCTAGAACCTAAAGGCCGAGAGTGTTCATTCCTCGGCCGCAGTGGCGAGATTTAGAAGTCAGTAGCGCACCCAACGCAACATCAACAAATTTTACTCCTCGACCGAGCTTGGCCGACGAGTTAGCATGCCCCGCATACAACCGAATGATGTAGTTAACTTACTAATTACTCGGCCTGCGCGCCACGTAGGCTTGGTAGTTTTTAGGGTCAACAACCTATTTCCCACTATTTCCTTGGGGGTAAGGCCATCTCCAACCGAAGGGTCCAGAAGGCCGAAAATAGCCTGAAAACCATCTCCAACCGAGGGCTAGGCCAAAGGGCTCTAGAATCTGGGAGGCCCCCACGGAATCAGAGAAGGCTGAAAGGCTTGAGGGTTGGTTTTTTTTTTTTTAAACCGACAATAATACATTTATACTAAATAATAGCATGTATTCATGTCAGTTATAACCGACATGATTTCTTAAGAAAAAATTCAAATGCAAGCCGTTGCATTTGTTTTTTTTTTTTTTTTTACAGTTTTATTATTATTTTTTATTTACAAAATTTTTCATATAACTTCTATTTTTTCCTATAACTTATATTTCACAAAATTTATTTCTTTTTTTTTTTAAATTCCATTTTTTCCCTATAACTTCTATTTCACAAAATTTGTTTCATATTTTTTTTTAAATTCCATTTTTTTCCTATAACTTCTATTTCACAAAATTTGTTTCATATTTTTTTTAAATTCTATTTTTTTCCTATAACTTCCTAAGCCATTATACAACATTAAATTAAATTACGTAACACGAAACAACATTAAACAATATGAAACAACATTAAATAACATTAACCAACATAAAAATTATACAACATGAAACTTAAACAACATTTTTAAAAACATTTAAAAACATAAAACATAAATACCTACTCCATACTTCTTTGGGCCCAAAGATGTGCAACAAGATCTTGTTGTAGGTACTTGTTTGTGGCATGAGAACGTATCATTCTATAGCGCCTCATGTACTCATCTATAAAGATATTACCAGTTCTTGGATTGAAAGGCAAATTAGGCTCATCATATACTTTTGCACGAGCCCTTCTTGACCTATTTGGATCTTCTTGGTCGTCATCGGACTCTCCATCAATATACCCATCTCGCTCATCCTCCACTATCATATTATGTAATATAATGCAAGACATCATGATGGAGTCCAAATTTTCTCAACTCCACCCTCTTGCCGGTTCGCTGATGATCTTCCACCGTGTTTGTAGAATACCAAAAGCTCTCTCAACATCTTTCCGATATGCCTATTGGTGTAAGGTAAACAACTTTTCCGCGTCATTCTTAGGGTTTGGAATTGCTTGGACAAGTGTCGCCCACTTTGGGTAGATGTCATCTGCCAAGTAATACCCCATATTGTATTGACGGCCATTGATGTAGTAGTCAAGTTGAGGTGTTTTACCTTCCATCAAGTTATTGAAAAGGGGTGAACGCCCAAGAACTGTAATTTCATTTTGGGATCCAGAGACTCCAAAGAAAGCATGCCAGATCCATGTGTCATATAAGGCAACCGCCTCTAACACAACAGTTGGCTTTCTCGATCTTCCTCTAAAACCTCATTGTCATCCGGTTGGACAGTTCTTCCAATCCCAATGCATACAATCTAATGACCCTATCATGCCCGGAAACCCATGGTCTTCAGCTTTGCAAAAAAGCCGATTCAGATCTTCTTGATTTGGCTCGCGGAGGAACTCATCTTTGTAAAGCTGAACAATTGTGTCACAAAATTCTTTAAGAGTATCAAGGCATGTAGACTCAGACATACCATGGGTTTCATCCATCGAATCAGCTGGGGAGCCATAGGCCATCATTCGGAGTGCAACAGTAACCTTCTGATAAGGTGAGAAACTAGGGCGGTCTGCTCTGTCCCGCTTCTGTCAAAAGTACGGATTGACCTGCTAGACATCACAAAGTAAACGCTCGAAGACATGACACCTCATCCGGAAGCAAAGTTTGAAATCATGTTCTGTGTACACTGAGTTAGGGTCGAAGTAGTTGTTCATCAAATTGGCATGCATCATCGCTCTGTTTCGTGGTTTGTAAGAGCAACCAGCAATAAAGCCACCCTGTTGAGGTTGTTCCTCAGTTGGCTGACACACCATGGTCGCAACCACGGCTGCTACTATGTTTTGTTTGTAGCGCCTTACTTGAACTTCTTCATCAGACTCTTCATCTTCTCGTCTCATTTGCGCCCATTTTGCTTCTTTTTTGGAATTGGATGAGGACCCCCAGTTGGAATCTGAAGAGGATCCAAAGTTGGAATTCATTGCAAACTTGAATTGAAAGAGATTGAATTTAAATAGATTGAATTCAAATTCAAAGTTGTGTGAATTATATCCCAATATCCACCCTATTTATAGCAAACAAAAATTCAAATACAATGACTAGCTGACGTCACTTAGCCGTTGGATTTGAATTTAAGTTGTAGTTTTTAAATAATAAATTATGTTTGGCCCTCTGACCCTTTTGCCCTCGGTTAGAGACGATTTTTTGTGAATAGGCTAAAACGAGCCATCTGGCCCTCGGTTGGAGACGGAGGCAAATATGGTCATGTATTGTTCATTAAAATATTAATATCTTGGAGAATCTTAGAGGGCCAAAGGGCTAAAACGAGCCCTCTGGCTAGCCATCGGTTAGAGATGGCCTGAAAGGTCCAGAGGGTCAAAAATTACCCGAAAATTGTCTCCAATCGAAGGCTAGGTCAAAGGGCTCATGAAATCTGAGAGGACCCCACAGAATCTGAAAGGGCTGGAAGGCTGGCCAGAAAAATCATTATTCATGTCGATTATAACCGACAGGAATCCTTAAGCTAAAATTCAAATGCAACGGTCAGCTGACATCAGCTAGCCGTTGCATTTGAAATTTTTTTTTTTAAGTTTTATTATTATTTTATTTACAAAAATTTTCCTATAACTTCTATTTTTCATATTTTTTTTAATTCTATTTTTTTCCTATAACTTTTATTTTACAAAATTTGTTTCATATTTTTTTTTTAAATTCCATTTTTTCCTATAACTTATATTTCACAAAATTTGTTTCATTTTATTTTAAATTCTATTTTTTTCCTATAACTTCTATTTCACAAAAATGTTTTATATTTTTTTTTAAATTATATTTTTTTTCCTATAACTTCCTAAGCCAATATACAACATTAAATTAAATTAAGTAACATGAAACAACATTAAATAACATTAAACAACATACAAATTATACAACATAAAAAAAACATTTAACAACATGAAACTTAAACAATATTTTTAAAAACATTTAACAACATAAATATTAAACGCCTACTCTATGCTTCTTTTGGCCCAAAGATGTGCAACAAGATCCTGTTGTAGGTACTTGTTTGTGGCATGAGAACGTATCATTCTATAGCACCTCATGTACTCATTTATAAAGATACTACCAGTTCTTGGATTGAAAGACAAATTAGCCCCATCATATATTTTTGCACGAGCCCTTCTTGACTTATTTGGATCTTCTTGGTCGTCATTAGACTCTCTATCAATATACCCATCTCGCTCATCATCCACTATCATATTGTGTAATATGATGCAAGACATCATGATGGAGTCCAAATTCTATCAACTCCACCCTCTTGCCGGTTCGCTAATGATCTTCCATTGTGCTTGTAGTATACCGAAATCTCTCTCAGCATCTTTCCAATATGCCTCTTGGTGTAAGGTAAACAATTTTTCTGCATCATTTCTAGGGTTTGGAATTGCTTAGACAAGTGTCGCCCACTTTGGGTAGATGTCATCTGCCAAGTAATACCCCATATTGTATTGACAATTATTGATGTAGTAGTCAAGTTGAGGTGCTTTACCTTCCGTCAAGTTATTGAAGAGGGGTGTACGCCCAAGAACTATAATGTCATTTTTGGATCCAGTGACTCCAAAGAAAGCATGCCAGATCCATGTGTCATATGAGGCAACCGCCTCTAACACAACAGTTGGCTTTCTCAACCTTCCGCTAAAGCCTCATTGCCATCCGGTGGGACAATTCTTCCAATCCCAATGCATGCAGTCTAATGACCCTATCATGCCCGGAAACCCACGGTCTTCAACTTTGCGAAGGAGCCAATTCAAATCTTCTTGATCTAATTCGTGGAGGTACTCATCTTTGTAAACCTGAACAATTGTGTCACATAATTGTTGAGTTGCTCTTTGAGATGGTTAATATGTTGTCTGGTCCTAAACGGTTTTGATTGGTCAACAAGTCACGTAGGTCAAAAACAACACATCCTCGTCTAGGATTATAGGATGAAGTAAAGTTCTGAAGGAGTGAAAACTGAAAACTATATAATCTCAAGTATTAACTAATTGAGCCAGAGAATAGACTGACTAGATACAATCTGACTAGAGAATGCGATCCATTTGTATGCCTACTAAGAGACAAGGAGTGATTTGTCTTGTTATTAAACAATTATTTTTGGATAAGATGCTATTGGATTTCTAATGAAATCACCACATAATAACATGTAAAAAAGAAATTATATCATGTAGTTCAGCATATCTTCTTTTTAACTCTCTCGTTACGTGATTTTGACATATTAATAGCAAGAAAAATAGTCATTTTTATTATGATATAAACACTACGTTCTTCAAAAAAACTGAAAATTTTGTGCAATCTACTAAATCTCAAATCCCTAACCTAGAAATTGATTCTTTTGTGAGAATTTTCAATTTTGACCTCACCTGTTTATTATTGTTTCTAGTAAGATTGGTCTCATGTTTACTTACGGGAATAGAGATTGGAAGAATTTTTATTCATAAAGTTCCTTGCATTAATTACGAAAGACTATTTCACTACTTAATCTTCCCTTATGTTTACTAACATATATGGAATCAGAAAAGTGTGAGTTATCCTTTAATTTTAGGAAAACTAATGAAAATGGTTTGAAAACTTTGAGTTTTAATGATAAGGACAAAATAAAGGGTAAAGTGAATAGTACCAGGATTGACTTTTTAGTGTAAAAATGTGGTTTTTCGTTAAAATGAACAGTACCGGGAGCTTTTCATTAAAGTTCCCTTTAATTTTCCGTAATCCTATACCTAAACATTAAGAATCAGATCAACTAGAGGGGCTATAGCTAGTGATCCGATTCTATTTCCGTAGCTCCCCTATTTCTAAGTTCTCTAATTCATTCCTTCTCCCATTTCTATTAACCAAACATGTCTTATCAATCATGACAATTTAATCTGCATAAGGTTCATGTATGTCAATAAGAATATAAAAACAATCATGCACGTTGCGTTTTGGAGTAAATAATGCCAAATGTATGTTGGCATGCATCATCATAGCATGTTAAAATAACATTAGAGGCCATTTTCATTTGAGTCGCTCTACTAAAAAAATCCAATTTATCTCTTTCCCTTCATCGCTGATGGCTCATTCAGCCAACAAAGTCACCAGCAGGAGACTTTGTTTTTCGTCACCTTCATGCTTTGGGGTCTAAGAAAGTCCAATTCCAATTCCAAAAGAACGCTTATATTGACCATTGTGTTCATCATTGAAAGCAACTTGCATTTCCTTTCTGTTTTTCGAAGTCTTATATTTTCAAAATATCCACATGCTAATATAAACTCCTAATAAAAAACCCTAAGTTACAAATTAAAATAATAATAGCCGTTTTGGCCTCTTTCCCACTATTTCCTTAGGCCATCTCCAATCGAAGGGTCCAGAGGGCCAGAGAGCCGAAAATAGCCCGAAAACTGTCTCCAACCGAGGGCTAGGCCAGAAGGCTCTGGAATCTGGGAGGACCCCACGGAATCGGAAAGGGCTGGAGGGCTGGCTGCATGCAGCCAGCCCGGGGCTGGCCATTTTTTTTTTAATGTTTTGTTATTTCTATCGGTTATAGCCGGCATGAATACATTATATTACTTAATATAAATGTATTACTGTCAGTTATAATCGACAGTAATACATTTATACTAAATAATATGAATGTATTCATGTTGGTTATAACCGACATGATTTCTTAAGAAAAAATTCAAATGCAACGGCTAGTAGCCGTTGCATTTGATTTTTTTTTTTTTTTTACAGTTTTATTATTATTTTTTATTTACAAAAATTTTCATATAACTTCTATTTTTTCCTATAACTTTTATTTTACAAAATGTGTTTCATATTTTTTTTAAATTCCATTTTTCCTATAACTTCTATTTCACAAAATTTGTTTAATTTTATTTTAAGTTGTAGTTTTTAAATAATAAATTATGTTTGACCTTATGGCCCTCTGGCCCTCGATTGGAGACGGAGGCAAATATGGTCATGTACTATTCATTAAAATATTAATATCTTGGAGGATCTTGAAGGACCAGAGGGCTAAAACGAGCCATCTGACCAACCATCAGTTGGAGATGGCCTTAGGTTTTAGCCCTCCAATCATCGGTTGGAGATGGCCTTAGGGGTAATACGTTGACCAAGTCATACCCCATGCTCAAGTAACCTTAACAATGGAGCTCCAAATCGTACGTTATATATTATATATGCCAAAACAATTTAAATGCATAAAGCAAGAAAAATAAGCAGTCAATATTGCCCGTCAAACAATTGCTTTAATTACTTTCCAACTAATGCAATCTCTCTCTCTCTCTCTCTCTCTCTCTCATGGTCATACAAAGTTGTCCAAAACGAATCAAAGACTATCGACTCCAAAGCAGTTTCACAAACAAGGCCCACCAGCTCTTTCCTTGTACCTTGCCACTTCCGTCTTTTACTATTTGAATTATTCCCCTCCCCTATATGTATTCTGCTCTCTGTGTTTTCTCTCCAAGCCACAGAGGGAGATAAAGAGAGTGCAAGGAGCAAGAACAATATAGGAGAACACAACCAAAATATAAAAAATGAGTGTAGAAGCAAAAGAGATTAGCTCAGCTCCCATAACACCGAGGCCGGCTGGTGGGGCTCCAAAACCTCCGGTAGGTCCACAGCCTGCGGTGTCTTGCCCGCCTTTGCAGTACAACTCACCGTCTTTGTCTAGGTCACCGCTTCTCGATGGAGCCTCAGATCAACCAGCAGCGGGAGGAGCTGTTGTGCCTGCCAGTAAGACCCCCAAGGGCTCTAGAACCCCAGCCGGAATAAGGACTCCAAGGATGTCTTTGACTCCAAGGTTCATCACTCCCATTGGTAGCCCTGTCAGGAAGGCTTTGAAGATGACTAGGCTTGATCCTGAGGATGCTTGGCTTCCCATCACTGAGTCTAGAAATGGGAACAAGTACTATGCTGCCTTCCACACACTTTGTTCTGGGATTGGTATTCAAGCTTTGGTGCTTCCTGTTGCTTTCACAATTCTTGGCTGGTAAGACCCTCCAAATTAAACCCGGAACTAGTACTCGTTTTGCAAACTTTTGATGTTGCCAGACTGTCAGTCTGGACTGTAATTTCACCATGACTCAGATTGAAAGTATGGCAACGTAACATGTTAGACTATTTTAATTTTTCAGAGCTACAAAAATTTTAAGTTATGGCTTATGATAGTTTTATGGGTTTTTCTCCTCTTTTGTGATTGATTGCAGGGCTTGGGGTATAATCTGTTTGACTCTAGCATTCATATGGCAAAGTTACACCCTATGGATACTGGTTCATCTCCACGAGAATGTAGAAACTGGAGTACGTTACAGCAGATACATACAGCTCTTTAGTCTCACCTATGGTACGATTCCAATCAAACTTCATAATATTACAACCCAAGTCCATCAACTTTTTCTAACTCAACTTTCTGCACCATTAGAGTGACTGATTATGTATACAAAATGTTGCAGGTGACAGAATAGCAAATTGGCTAGGGATGTTTCCGATCATGTACCTATCTGGAGGCACCTGCGTGGCCTTGATAGTGATTGGTGGAGGCACTTCCAAGCTCTTCTTCCAAACTTTATGTGGAGCCGCATGCAGCTCTAAGCCATTGACAACAGTTGAATGGTACTTGGTGTTCACATGTGCTGCTGTGCTGCTATCTCTGCTGCCAAACTTGAACTCCATAGCTGGAGTTTCACTTATCGGAGCTCTCACTGCAGTTGGGTACTGTACAGCGATTTGGGTGATTTCTGTATCAGAAGGCAGGCTTCCTGGAGTTTCATATGATCCCATTGAATCTGCGACTAATGTGGAGAGGGTGTTTAGTGTGCTCAATGCCCTTGGGATCATTGCTTTCGCCTTCAGAGGTCACAATCTCATCCTTGAGATTCAGGTAATTGATAATTTTCGTCTTAATTAATTATTAAATTTTAATTTAAATAATTTTACAGATTAATTTGAGTTAGTTCTTTCGACTCCCAATGCTTTGGCCAGTGAGAACCTGCAAAATTGGTCAATATATATTTTTTTCAGGGTTTTTGAAGTCAGAAATTGATGCCTAACTAGGTGAATTATTAAATGCGCACTTTTTCTTTGAGGCCAAGCAATTTCCTAACAATAAATCTAACAGAATTGAGACTTCTCATATTGCTTTTACACATACAAAGTGACAATTTTGACCAACTTGAGCATCTTCAAATGAACAAGAATCCAACTGTCATTTTTTTTTTTTTTTTTTGAGAATGCCAAGACACATGCAGATACAGTACAACTAATCTAGCAATTGGAATAGCTTAGTTTTCCCAGTTGAATATTTAATTAAAACCAACCATGACCAATCATGAAACTTTAGCTTTACATAAATTAAAATTGTGCAAATTCATGCTTATTTGTTTATTTATTTATATTTTATAAAAGCTTATCTTTAAAGATTCTTTTTTGTTTTAAAACATAAACAATACTGAGAGAGTATGTTTTAGATCATATTGTTGTAGATAACATAATGAGACAATTGATGGTTGAATTTTTCGTTTAATGATTTAAGGAATGAATTCAAAAATTAACCGTCACAACATGTAGTCTACAAAATATAATTTAAGTGGATGATATCTCTAGCATCATCGTATGTACGTCAAATTAAAAAGAAAAATTTAAATAAAAGTGCGGGGGTTCTCAACCGTTCACTTATCATGAACATCCCCATCACCTAGGTAGTTAACTCTAACATGGAATTATTCAACCATAGACTTACTTAGCTTTCTGAATTCAATGTTTTTGTGTTGCAGGCCACCATGCCTTCTAGTGAGAAACATCCCTCACATGTGCCAATGTGGAGAGGAGTGAAGGTGTCCTATGCAATCATTGCTGCATGCTTGTTTCCCCTTGCAATTGGAGGCTACTGGGCTTATGGTCACTTGGTATGCACCCTAATCCTCATCTTCAGTTCTTTCCTGCACAAGACGTCTTGTTTGTTCTTTATCAAAGAACAGACATGCAGACGTATATTTTTTTTTTCCAGACATTCTGCATAGAGAATTTCTGTCTTGATCATAATTAACGAATGTTTAAACATGAACTATACACTTAACTCAAAGATTTTAATATTTTGTTTTGCTCTTTTTTTCGACAGATACCAGCAAATGGAGGAATGCTTCCAGCTGTGTTCCAGTTCCATTCAAGAGATGTGTCACAATCCGTCCTAGCGCTCATAAGCTTGTTTGTGGTGATAAATGCACTGTGCTCATTCCAAATCTATGGCATGCCAATGTTTGACCACATGGAGTCCCAATACACAAGCAGAAAGAAAGCTCCACTTCCATGGTGGCTGAGGTGCATTGCTAGGGCAATGTTTGGGTTCGGAGTCTTCTTCGTCGCGGTGGCAATTCCATTTTTGGGAAGTGTGGCCGGTTTGGTTGGAGGGATAGCACTGCCTGTGACTTTAGCGTACCCATGTTTCATGTGGATCAAGATTAACAAGCCTAAGAAGTATAGTCCTATGTGGTGGCTAAATTGGTCTCTTGGAATTTTGGGGATGGCTTTGAGTTTGGTTTTGATGGCAGCTGGAATCTATGTTGTGATTCAAACTGGGATTCAAGTCAAATTCTTCAAGCCTCACTAACAAAAGGAGGATTTCAGGGGAGGATTTGAAGGGAGGATTTGTGGAGAGGAAAACAAAAGGGTGGATTTACACTTATTAATTTGTTTTACTGTTCTTTGTGAAAGAAAAAAAAAATATTCACAGTTGTAGTTTGCTGCTGAATTTCATGGGAAAGATAATTCAATTTATATATAATCTCTGTTTTCTTTCATGGAAATGTTGTAATTGACATTGTAGAATCTTTAGGGGTGTGTAATATTACTGAAGTAAAATTCGCAAGATTGGATTTCTCTCTCTCCCTCTCTCTCTCTCTCTCTCTCACGCTAATTCATTTTTTAATTCAGAAAATTCAAAGGAGAGTGAAAATTCCATCTACCATGGACTGTCCTCCCTCTAGGTTGCCACTCTAATTATAAAATCAGATCACACTAAGTTAATTAGTTAGGTGGGAGAGCCTAATTGTAACTAAAGTTGTCTAATGTGGACCATGCCAGTTTTATTACTCAAGAACACTGCTTAGTTGTTTATTTATATTTATATATATATATATATATATATATAAAGTTGTTCCTTCTTAACTGCAAATCAGTATAAAATAGGGAATTGTTATTGATATTCCAAAAATCTCATTCTATCCTCCAAACTTTCTATATTTGGAAAGTAAAATACATTTGTAAGGAGTGTATAATGAAATTTTTGTAGAGTGCCAATAACACTTCCCATAAAATATTCTATTAAAACCATCAAATTTTAAGAGGTTAGAAGTCTTGAACCAACATTTATTCAACTGAGCTTATTAGCCTCAGAAGGTTGCTCAAACTCAAAGTCAATGCTAGGGGTGGTCCGGTATGGGATCTCAAATAAAAAATGGGATCCCAAATTCCAAATAAAAAAAATTCGGGCACTACTACAATACAAGCTATCACCGGCGGAGCTAAATCCGACAAGAAACCCAATTTCTGTCGAAAATTTGGCACAAATCCGACATTAAACAATGTAATGTTGGATTGGCATAGCGACACTAATGCTAGCGTCACTAAAGGCTATCAGTGTCGCTTTGTGCGCTTAATCCGACACTACATAGTGTCGGTTTAAAGCGACATTAACTCTAACGTCGGTTTAAAGCGACGTAAACTAATAAAATAAACTATATAATATAGAAACTAGTGTCGGTTTATAGCGACGTAAGCTAATAAAATAAACTATATAATACAGAACCATGTGTCGGTTCAGATAACAATTACATAAATAAAATATTCAAATGCTTTCAACAACGGTTTAAGCTGAAAGCATTCCTCCTATTACTCATTCTCCTGTGGCGAGCAGATACCCCAGAACAAGTGACTGTTATCCTCTTGTTAGTTGCTATTTTTATTGTTGAATTCGTAAATACTTCTTTCTCGAAAGAAAGATTCCATTGTTTTTCGAGCATAGACTTCTGTAGCAAAAGAAGTGCGTCCACTGAATATTCAAGATCAGAGCTTTCCTCCTCCAAGTCATTGAAGTCGTGAAACCATTGTTGTGCGGTTGAGGAAGGAGCAGAGGCAGCGTCGACCTGGTCTTTGAGAGCCCTACTGGATGTTGTCCCTCAGCACCTTTATGTGCCTCTTGGCTCCTCCCTTGCCCAGCCCCTTGCCTCCCTTGCCGCGTCCATTCATTGCTGCGGAAATGAAATTAGGGGTTGATTTGGGATCGGATATTTGAATTGAGAGAGTAAGTTACAGTGTAGGAGAGGTCAGGTGGAGGGGGTTTATATAGAGAGGTTTGGGAGCTTTGATACGTGGGTTGTGTTTCTTTACGTGAGATTTGGGGGGAACGCGAGGACCGTGGATTGGGCGCAATCGACGGTTAAGGGTTGCGATCCGTGCCGTGGGTTTGGGTGATGAGTTTCTTTAAAATACTTAAAAAAATAATTTGTGTCGCTTTATAGAACCGACGCAAGCTTTAAAATATTTAAAAACAATAATTTGTGTCGCTTTAAAGCGACACCCATACTTTATGTCGCTTAAAAGCGACACTGTTTTTCTTAAGCGACGCTGTATTTAAAAATTATTAAAATATATGTTCTTAAACCGACGTAGGAATTTTATGACGCTTAAAAGAGACAGTAAATCCGACGTCATGTTCAGTTAGTGTCGCAACTGTCTTATGCGCCACTATATTATATTAAACCGACGCCACATAATGACACTATAAGGCCCTTTTGTAGTAGTGGGGATAGGAATTTGAAGACCAATCTCAAACCGAAATTTCGGTATTCTCAATTTTCGGTATTTCAGGATGGATTGGGACTGGATTTTGAGTTTTGGGCTTTTGGGTTTTTAGATTGAAATTTGAGATTTTTGGGTTGTGGGCTAAAATTTGGGTTTTTGGCCTAAATTTTTGTTGCCTAATTTTATATCAATTGAAATTTAGGTTTTTTACTTTTTACTAATTTGAAATTGAGAACTTTAACGAAAAGCTTCCGATACTTTTCATTTTAACGAAAAACCATATGTTTACATTAAAAAATCAATTCTGGTACTATTCACTTTACCCTTTATTTTGTTCTTATCGTTAAAACTCAAAGTTTTCAAGCATTTTTCATTAGTTTTCCTTTTGAAATTTCATACCATTTGAAATACCAATTCATTCATATAAAGTCAAATTGACGTTCTAAAGTTCCAAACTACCTAATTTCATACTTCTATTTCTAATATAATCTACTATCAAACTACATAAATTCAACATTCAACATGCATGTCACCAAAATAAAAAAATAAAAAATATATATACATTTTTTTTCGGTTTGGTTCGGAATTTCCAAAGTATTGAATATGTAATTCCGATTCCCATACCGAAAAGTTCGGAATTGGTTCGGTATGGATCCCTAAAATTTCGGTATTATCGGTTTGGTAATTTTTCAGTATAAATCAAGATTTTTTTTGTTTGGTTTGGGATTTTCGGGAAAATTTTCCAGCCTACTCTTGTGACTTGTGATGAACCTTGACGGATGGTTCAACCAGTGTGGACGCAGACACACAATTACAAACTATCTTCATGCATCATGCAGCCGTATTTACCAAAGGAAAAATACTCGACTCCTCTTTTACAGAACAATTCATGTGTCTAAATATTTTTTTCATATGCGTAAAATTTAATCTCTACACGTTACACGTAAAGAGCCAAACAATGATCTCTATGGTTGTCATTCTACATCAAGGAGAATTAATCCTAACATGTAAAGAGCAATAATCTTTACGATGGCCCTTCATCGCTTCTATCCATATATTCCACTAACACATACCGCGAGAGATAGGATCAGTAAATATAATGCACCAAGTGCAAGTCAATTCTCATTAGATAAACTTTTGAACCACATTTGAACGATGTGAAAGACTTGCAGAGCTGTTCTAGGAGAGTGAATTTGGTAATTTATGGGAAGAGTTCAGCTATGTATATAAAACTGGCACAAATAATTCGGAATTTTATATCCTGCAAAAACAATGTGATCAAAAACCTTTTTTTTTATAACAAGCCTAAAGATCGAGCCTAAAATAAAGTACAAACTATAGACCTTGAACCAGTTCCGCCTTATCCATCTACGGGCGCAGATATGCACCCGGATAGTTCCCCCTGTAAATTTTGAGGGGAAAAATATGGCAAATTAATGATACAAAGCTCACAATGTCAGCAACAACGACAGGTTACAACGTCACAACAGGTGTAAGGTCTAGACTTTTCTTCAAGTTGCTGCGCTGTCGGTAATGATTCCGGTCTGTATTTGCTCCTTCGAACACAGCAAAACTCGTATAAATTTCTGCATGCTCCTTTACTGAAGGGATATACCCTCTCGGGTACTCCTCTGTCGATCAAAACAAAGTAAAAAGAACTGAGAATCTAAGAGCATAACGGTTAACTATTTTAATTCACATCTCAACACAATATTCATAGCCTAGTATATGCAAATAACAATTCTACTATGTTTGACAATGGATTTGCATTAGCAAGGGATTTAGCCTAAATGAATTAGAAATGAACAACAAACATCAGATAGAGGGATTTGAAATGCACTACATGATCGTTATATATTTACAAAGACATAAACAAAGGATTTACAAATCAATCTTTCAAGTAATCATTTGCGAATCCCTCTCAATGCATTTTATATAGTCATCTCAAATCTCTCCCTCTAATCTTTTCTAGCACATTTCTAACTAATTTACCCTAAATTCCTTGGTGGTCATTGCAAACCCCTTACCATTATAGAACAATTTGGAACACAACGCTAGTTAGGATTCCGTAAACACCGTGTACATATACTAATACTATTATACTCTTTTTCTTTCATCACACAAGTTGATCATGGCATGTTAACCACAAATAGCTATAACAAATAGCTATAATAAACACATCTAACCATATTTATGTCACATATTTTTTTTTTACTGAATCAGTATTAAAGTATATATAATGACACTAGATATTTTTAACATACGATGACGATTTTAGTTATTTACAGCAAATATTATTATATAGTAGAAAAGAAAAGAAATGAACTAACCTTAAATATGGGATGCGCCTTCGTCTTACAAGCTCATAGGTAGTCTGATTGGTCAGAACTAGATAACTGCAGCAAAAGAAAAAGAAAATTAATGTTCTACTGATACATTTCAGTTATGCTTTTGAGGTAAATGACTTATGTAGTGATAGTGCTCAGTTAGAGAGAACGAAGCCAGGATGGGGGAGCAGAAAGAGAGAGAAAAAAACAGACATCCAATTCTTTAAATATATTATACTATAACACGACTACTGCCAGCATCATAACACAAACAAATGGCAAAAGTTCTGTGAAAGCATTAAAATTAGGTAATTCTACCAAAATGGCAAATTGAAAATAAAAACATGGTGTCATAGCATAGGAGGAAATGTCTTGCATCTAAGAAACCCAAAGCTGATGCCAAATATAAAACTTTACCTATGAAATATCAGGAGGAGCAGCAGAAAGGTCATGGAAATTGACAAAGTAACCAACAGCAATATCACAATTGCATCCTTCCACCTGACAATTAAACATTCAGAATCCAAATTTAATGGATACCAATTACACAGTAAAGAAAACCCTTAATGGGCAAATAAAACTTCATAATGAAAACCACAAGGACCATAAGAAATGACTTTTCAATTCTGTTTTTAGTTTTAACTTAATCTATTTCTCCATGGATTCATAGAGCACCAAACACTTAGACAGTACTACCACAATGACAAGGGTATAACCTAAATCATTCCCACGAAATAAGGACCTCAGAAAAGATA